CACTGCTCGGCAGCTCTAGTAGTAGTCATTCATTCAATTTTCATCATTCATTCAATCAGTTTTGGCTTTTATTTCTCTTTCACTTACTTTCACTCATTTCTCGGTATAATAACTAATATTTATATACTAAATCTACACTAATATCTACTTAAAGGCTTTTCGTATACCATATTCACTACAAATCTTGTTATTTCGTAACAATATTATGAGTCTATGGAAATCAATCTCAATGAATATTTACTTTACTTATTTAAATAATTTATAATCATTTTTAAAATCAACATTTGTTTTCGCTAATATTTAGGTTCAGGGCACATAAACTCTAATGTGATGTAATTTATTTGATTTTCAATCAATATTAATGGTTAGTACTGTATTACGATGGGTAGTGCACTGTATTACTATTGTAATGGAAATACGAGTAATAAAAATAACTTTTTTCGCTGTTTTTTATTACAAACACATTCCCGTCTCAAAGGCATCGTTTCGCTTGTCATTGAAGTTATCACAAAAAGTTTATTTGTCGGAAAAAATGCTTTTCTTATCTTTATTTAAATCGATGACCACTTTATAGACTAACTGAAGGACCAGACAATCGTCGGGACATGACATCCAGCGTATAGACACAGACACACAGTACCGGTGATTGATGTCTGGCCCTGAACTCTACCATCGATTAACTCTTATGATATCAATCTCTGCGATATTTGTGTTCAAAAAATAAATAATTGTTTCTTAAAATTAATTACTATTTTTGTTATTATTATGTTATTAATGATTGTATGAATAAAATGGAAATCTGTTTCTCAGTTGCAGAATATATCAAAGCGAATGGAAATACGAAAAATGAATTTTGTGTCAAAAATTTATGCACAAAGAATTGGTTATAAAATTAATTTAATACGAAAATAATTTTTTTACAAATTCTTATGATTATTATGTCTATTGAATGGAATATTACATGAATTTTAGTTTCATATAATGTCGAGAGAATTGTTGCGGAATGTAATGAGAAATTCTTTCGCCTTTTTCGCTATTTTTATGCACTATTTTTGGACTCATTTTTTACAAATGTATCGCAAAAAAAAGTTTGTCTTACTTTTTTTCGTTACATACAAAAAATTCTTTCATTTCACACATTATTTTTATATATCGAGTGATGACAACCATTAATAAACACATGAGTGAACATTATATTCAATTTCTCGTGTGATTTATAGTCAATCCATACAGAAATATAAATTATAATAATGAAGGTCTGTGTTTATATTGTAATAGTCTACCATACTCCACTATACATGATATTAGCCACGTGGATGACCCACCCTTATAACCAATTATAAATATTAAGTATTGTATAATATTACAAAAATTTAATTTTTAAATATATTTAAAATTATTATAATTTATGATCATCAAAGAAACTTGAAATAGTTTTAATATTAATATGTTTTTACTAATTTTAAAATTCCAGAATCTCTCTCTCTCTCTCTCTCTCTCTC